GGCGCCCCCTCGCCTATTGTCTGGGGCTCGGCGGCGGCGGAGACACGGCCAGGCGGACGCCACGCCTCCCCTTCGCCGCCCCCTTCTCCTTCTCCTCCTCCTCCTTCTTCCAGGGAAGGTTGCCAACGTCGCTCCTCCGCCCGGCGCCTCTGCTCCTTTTGGAAGGGCTTCTACTAAGCGGAGCTGGAACCGTCTGGGTTCCTCTACGCCAGCCCCCCGCCCCCAGTCGCCGTCCTGATGGCTCCCATTTCCAAACTCTAGACTTAGCCCAAGGAACCCCTTGCCACAAGATGTGAGGACTGGGAGGTTTTTAAATTCAATTTAATCTGGGTTTGTTCGTTTGTTTTAAACTTCCTGCTGTGTTTTATCAGTGGTTGTTTTTCACACGGATGGGGATGTGGGGCTTCCAGGGCCAGTGGCTGGCTGCCCCTCAATCAATGGGTGGCAGGTTTCCTAATCCAGGTCTTCCGGAGGTACCTGGGGGCCACTACATTTTTTAAAAAAAGGTATTTCGACAAAACAGATCCTTCAGGATGTGATCCAGGAGGGCTTTTCTTATGTGGGTGCTTCTGAGCATACACAGAGAGCAAGATAAGAGAACTGCCTTGCTGGATCCAACCTTTTTTTTTAGCGCATCATCAGCTTGCGTCGGGTTTCCACCTGGGGTCAGCAGCCGGAGGCTACAAGCTAACTCTCCCGAGAGCTGCCGCAGATCTAAGCGCTGAAAATCCCTGCCCATCCTGATACACAGCATGGCGAAAGCAGGGTGTGGGGTAATTTCCTTTTTTTTTTTTTTGGTCTGAGTAACTCAGGGTCAGTCACAGACATCAAAAGGTAGGAAATTCAGGCAGAAGGAGGGAGAAGCTTTTTTTGGCATGGCATGGAGTTTAGCTGTGGAACTCACTGCCACAAGATCTACAATGGCTGCCAACACAAGAGGACAGAAGTCCTGCATGAGGCAGTTCAAGTTGCTCCTTTCCATCTTCCAACACCCTCCAGAGCTGGGGGTGACGGCGATTCTCCCTGCCCTGGGACGGAGCGAAGGGCCCCCTTCCTCCTCACCCCACTTTCATCTACCCCGCGGGGCCGCCAGTTACTCAGAACCACTACATTTCCTCCCAGCCCGTTCTCAGTATGACTCACCATCCAAAAACAGATTTCAGGGGAGACAGGTGGGGGAGAGGGGCCGGGACGGAGCATCTTCAGTCCCTTCTTGCTGCACCCCAACCCTGCGGGGGTCGGGGGGCGACTTTAGAGGCAAGGGATCGGCTGCTTTTTCCACTGTGCTCTCCTTCAAAATGTCGGCAGCCCCCAGCCCTGCCGCTCTGCCCGGCCTTCTCTCACGATCTTTCTCTCTCTCTCTCTCTCTCTCTCTTTCTGTGTCTTCTTCACTAGGGTGGTTTCCGTGGGTGGTTTTCTGCAGCTGTGCGCAACGGTCTCTTCTAGCCGTGAACAATGCCAGTCCTGGGGGGGGGGGAACCAGTGCAGGCCTCTGGGTGACGCAGGATGATGCGTTCCAAGCTGGGGTGCGTTTCGCACGTGGCTGAGCCTGGAGGTTGCACCGGGTTCTTGTAGCGAGGGAGGGCCTCTTCCCAGCCTGGACCTTTCATCTCACCCAGCTCCAAAGGGGGGGGGGACCCCACCGATCCCAAACACACAAACCACAGGTGGAATGTGCTTCCGTGGGCTCTGTGACGTGGCACGTGCCAGGGCTCCGTGCCTCTCCACCCATGGCAGAACGCTAACCATGCCAGGAGTGAACAGAAGCACTGAACCGCAGAGATAAGGCCTGGAAAAGGGGGAAGACCTGCCAGGCCCTCGTGGCACGCACCCCCCCATGTGCTTTCTTGTGAGAAATCACTTAAAATAAAAGCCCCTTTGGGCTTCCTTCGCCGCGGTGCCCATTCAAACCAGGTGCCCTCACATCCGGCTGGTCCGGTTCCTCGTGCGGCTGCCGAGGCTAACTATGCAAGCTTGCCAGCTGTGCTGGGCGCCCGTCTGAGAACAGCGCCTCGCCACTTGGGTGCCCGGACGAACCCTGGCCCCCTCTGCGCCTTTTGTGGCATCTTCAACTGATGTCTCCCCATTGCCCAGATGGGGCCACTCCAGGAAAATCTCTCCCCCCCCCCCACGTGCGCTACGTGTGGAAGGAAAAATAGCACATTGAGCTCCTGTTTCTAGCTGTGCTGGGCGCCCGTCTGAGAACAGCGCCTCGCCACTTGGGTGCCCGGACGAACCCTGGCCCCCTCTGCGCCTTTTGTGGCATCTTCAACTGATGTCTCCCCATTGCCCAGATGGGGCCACTCCAGGAAAATCTCTCCCCCCCCCCCACGTGCGCTACGTGTGGAAGGAAAAATAGCACATTGAGCTCCTGTTTCTTTGGGGGACTCCCCCCCCCCACGCGCGCTACGTGCGGAAGGAAAAATAGCACATTGGGCTCCTGTTTCGTTGGGGGACGAAGGCAGGAGGAGGACGGGCTCCCCTCTCTTTGGCAGAGACCAAAGCAACCGACGCAGAGTTCATTTTGTGGCTTCCCTGACGGAGTACAGCGATCTCACTTCTCTTTGGCCTTCCTCTTTTCCTGCCTCCTTTCGCTTTTCTCAACCTTACAGTCTTTTTCTCCCTTTGCTTTCTCACAATCGGCCCAAGAAGGGCAGCTTCCTTAGAAGAGCACCTCCCTTTAACGCCACATTTCCCATTCTTGAATGGTGACCCCTTCTCCTTGTTACTTCCTGACATGCTCCTGCAGGAAGAGACCTGTAGATCTCCAAAGCTTGCAAGCATTTATACACAGGGTGCATCTGGGAGTTCATGGTAAATTTAGTGATTTATATATAAAAAAAAACACCCTCCAGAATGTGGGGGACAAGATGCAGGCAGCCGGAGCCCTGCCTCTAGGATGCTTTGCCGAGCTTCTGGACAGGGCAAGGTTGTCCTGCTCGCCGCCCCCCCCCCCCCGCGGTGCTGTCGNNNNAGCCGTGGGGCACGATTCCTCAGTGGGTTTCCCTGGCAGCCGAGACAAAGCAAGGCAGACAGCCCAGCCCTTGCAGGGGGGCGGGGAGGAGGGTGGTTTCTGCCCCAGGGATTGGGGACGTGCCTGGGCTTGTAGATCAAACATTCCTCCTTGATCCGCGGCGGTCTTTGTGTGCAGGGATTCTCCTTTGGCTGTTGATTCTGACAAACACCCAGGCCCTGATTCCTGGTCACCTGGCCGGAGGGTCTTGCCGGGGCAGGCAGGGGGGGACGACACCGGGGAGACTCAGACCCCAGTCCCCAGCCCTCAGCAATTTGGGGATCGGAAGCAAACCCGGTCTGGATGGGGCGGCTCCGCCTTGAACAAGTCTGCTCCCTATGTCTTGCTCGACCTCCATCCAGGGTCCGGCTTGCCTCCTTTCTGGGCAAGAGAGTGCCAAAAGCTATGGAGAAACAAAAGCTGGAATCCGTAGGTTAGAGCAGTTAAAGGAGGATCTTATTTGAAAAAGGAGCACAACAACAGTCGCCAAACCTAGGCATTGTTTGGAGGGGAGAGCGGAAAGCGGAAGCTGCCTATCCAGTTTTGTAAAAAGGCCCGAGACCTGGAGCTTGTTGGTTCTCCTGATGAGGGCCGGCCCTTTGATGCAATTTGCAGGGAAGGGTAACCCACCATTCAAGGGGGACGTGTCCCCGTGGAGAAGAAGGTGAAATCCATTTGTTTGTTTGTTTGCATAAAACACTCGTCCGCCAGAGAGCCCAACGCAGCTAGGCTTTGGGAGAGGAAAAGGGTTTCAAACTCCATCTGAAAACACGAAGAGTCCGTCGGAGGTCGTGGGGATGCAGTTCCAGGGACGGTGGTGCCACCAGTTAGAAGGCCCCGCTCCTTTTATTTCCTCCTCAAATTCCCAGTCAGAAGAGGCGATGCACATCCAGAAGCGGCTTTTCTCCCCCCCACCCCTTCCTATAGATTTCTCTCTGCTCCAGTTGGCAGCCACCCTGGGGAACACACGTTGCAGTGGGAGTCGCTCGTTGTGGATGATGGGCACTGTAGTACCAGCCATCCAGAGGGTAGGCCCTTCTACCTTTGACGCCGGAGCCAAAGCTTGGTAGCGTCCTTTGTCCAAACTTCAGTCATCACGTGCCTCCCTCAGTGAAAAGGTAGGATTCATAAGATCAGGCTTGGGAAAGGTACAGTAATTTATGTTGAAAAAGCAAATGAAAAAAAAAGATTATATGTTCACCTGTTTGAGTTCCTGTTGGATTCTTTAAAGGTGCCCAAACTTAACTTTTCAACACTCCAGAGGGTGGGCCTTTGGGTACCCCCCCACCTGTGTTTGCAAGCTGAGGGGCCAAGTTCCAGCTGAGCAAACGAACTGCAAGCCCACTCGTTGAGCAAAGAGCATTTCAGGAAAGGACACACGTTGTTTGTTCACCAAGTTGACTGTTTGTCAACGGTACGATTTTGAGGAGGCCCTCAGAATGGGTTTTTTCCTCCCGCCTCCTTTGAACCAAATTTAAAACTCCACAAATGTTTCTGACACCGTTGCCGGCCTGGAATCTGACCCATACTCGAAAGACGGAGGGGAGCGTGTGAAGGCACGTCTTCCTGCCCAAGGAAACATGCGCGCGGGGAAACAAGAGGGGCACGCTCTCCAGGACCAGAAGGAAGGACGGTCGCTCTTCTACCAGGGAAAACAAGGGTCTTTTTTTCTTTTAATCCTATCTGGTGAGCTCCAAAGGTTTCAGAAGAAGTTTCTGTCCAGAAATCAGAGTCCGAGAGTCGGAATCCAAAGCTATTCCAAGCTTTTGCGCGAACCATGAAGGGGTTTCTGGCCTCCCACACTTTGGGGCAACACAACATATTAGCCACGAGGAGAATCTTCACTAGGTTGATTCCATCCTGAGGAACTGATGGGGCTTCCTTTTTGGATTCACCGCCTTTCAACACCAAGATCCTGACTCCCCGAGAATGGAGCCAGCTTGTCTCTCTCCCTCTCCCTCTCTCTCTTCCTGGCAGAAGCATCATCCTTCTCTCCACTTGGCCCAGGGAGGGACGTTAGCATCACTCAGCCTCCGCTCCGGACCCGCTCGGGGAGTTCTCTTTCCTGGGCAAGACAGATGGAACCGGGACGAAGGTTAAAGCCGCACAATCTGGGCAGAGACGCTGAGGTGGAGGCTCAGATTTCAAGCCAGCCAGGAAGAGTCACCCGATCTTTTAAGAGGCAAGGGGCCGAGGGACGAGGAGGAGGCTGGAACCCCCAACATGGTTATTTTATGCCATTTTCTTCGGGCCTGTTTGGCTAAAAGCGCACCTTTCCACACCCAGTTCCCCTCACTGTCCGCCAGATATGCTGGGCTTGAGACTCCGCTGTCCATAATCCTTTGACATTGGCCGTGCTCGGCCGGGGCTAATGGGATTTGCAGTACAAGCCCTTCTGAAGGCTGAAAAGCCACCCATTTCTGGTAGAAGCCACCATCTGGCTTACAGGTCTTGAGACTGTGGCAGGAGACCAAGACTTTACGGTTCGATACGGCCTTTAACAGTGGCTTTGTGATTTCTTCTCTACCTGTTCTTCAAGACTGCTGGCTTTTTTTAAAGGGAGTTTTAAACATAGGTTTTGATCTGCTTTTAAAGGACGTTTCCACCCATGTTGCTTCGGAATGGTTAACTGTCAGAAAAATCAAAGCAAATAAATTCTCTTCCTCTTCATTCCCCTGTCTCTCCTCTTAGTTTAAAAAACAATTATAAGAGAGCGGCACTCTTGAATGATAAACACATGAAGGCTACCGTCTTGACCCAAAGCTTCTCCTGGAACATGCACGCACACAGGAGCGGCATCGTTCACCTTCTGAACAGGGGCCAGAGGCAAACCATGAAACCTTGCAAGGGAAAGATGGAAGCAAGCTGATCCATTGTATGGCCGTTTATTTTATATTCACGGGGTTTCCACCTCGCCTTCCCTGCTCTTACAGGGCGTCCTCAAGCTGGGGAACAATGTAGGGGGGAAAAAAACCACACACCCAGGAAAAAATACAAGACTGGAATCGCAATAATATGTTACGATTTAAGGCACCAATGTAGAAGGAAGACAGAGTTCCCGACCTCTGCTGGCTGCAGGCGATCCAAGAGTGTTTATTAACCTGGCTTCGGTTTGCTGGCAGCCTTCTCAAAACCCCTTTCCTCGGACTGCAAACAGTTTATCCACCCCTTGGATGGAGCCATTCAAAGGAAACCTCTTGCTGCCCCTTCCTTCTGGAAGGAGATCCGAGGGCACTCAGAATACCCTCCTCTCTCTTGCGAACGAACGTGTTCCAAGCCGGAGGTGCCCAGGCCCGTGTGTTTGGACTCCCGCTCCCATCGGCCTTGTGGATTCAGGGAATTCACCGCCCACCCAAGGAACCCACCCAGAGCTGCTCCTTCCCGTTTTTTCCTTCCCAGCCGACTCTCTTGCCGGCAGGAACCCTTCCGAGCAAGGCTGGCGGATGTCAGCCTGATCCGCTGTTGGCAGGCCCTGAAATGTTTGGCCCGAGCAGGGGTGGCACTTAGGAAAACAGAAGGGAGCTCTATGGTCAAAGCGACACCTTTCTGGATGTTCAATAAAAAGAAAATGAAAAAAAAATAAGCAAAATAGGTGGGTAGGAAAGGAAAGGGGAGCTGAGGAAGAGGCGGTCAGTCGTCCTCTTGAAAAGGCAGCGACTTTTGACCTCCTGTCTTTGTCAGGGGAGGGGGGCCAGTATTGACTTTTAAAGCACACCTGTTGGGGTGGGGGGTGGGTTGGCTGGCGAAGAGGTGATCTGGGAGCCAGGCAAAGCCTGTCCCCCACCTTGCCTCGGCAGGGAGAGACCTTTCAGGTGCAAGGAGTTCAACGTTCACGATGAATCAAGGGTCAGATCCTTGGAAAGAGAGGAGGACGAAAGTGGGGAAAAGAGGCGCTCCGGCTGCTGTGAAAGGGCAGCAGGCGCCACATCACCCCCTGGGAGCACCTGAGGCGGGAGCCGGCCTCTGCCACGGCCCCAGAGCCCGCGTGGCGCCTCCGTCTCCGAGTCAGCTTGCAAAAGGGGCAAAGGGGGAGCTCTGGGAGGCCAGCCACGACCCCCCCCTCCTTGGTCCCCTGGCTCGTCCCTGCTTGCACAGAGAGAGGGTGGGCGGCAGCCCCTTCCCCCCAGATCCTGCTCTCACCGAAGGAACGAAAGAACGGCTATGCCAGGCCGCCGCCTTTCTCCTCGGGAGCAAGGGAGAGCCATGATGAGTGGCAAAGGCTGGCAGGGAGGGGCAGAGTCCTCGCTGGAAAACCTCAGGATGGGGGGGGTCCCCTTGGGGGCTCCTGCCCAGAAGAGGCCGGTTCTCCTCCCGGCTGGAAGGACGAACCACCCCCGGCCGGGGGCGCTTGGGCTCCCTTCCTTCCCGGGGGGGGCGCCCTCCCTCACTGCGGGCCAGGGTCTTCCGCTGCAGCAGCTGAAACACAGGAAACACACAAGAGTCGTATGTATATCTGTATGTGTGTGTGTGTGTGTGTGAGAGAGAGAGAGAGAGAGAGAGATCTTGGCCAAGAGGACTGGGCAGCCCAGAGGGAAGAAAGGAAGACCCTTTTGGGGCTGCCAGGTTTCCTTCCTCTTTTTACGAGCCCCTTTCTGCCGGCATTCGGGGGGGGGGCGCACATCTGAAACGGTCCTGGCACGCAAACAGTGGTTGGCAGAAGCCACCGAAGGGACCGACCACAGAGAGAGTTTTGTCTCCAACCTGGAAGCTAAACCGTTCTTTTGCCCCCTTCCTTTGCTCCTTTCCCGGTTCCTTTTCATCCTTTTTTCTGCCTCCCCTGCGCGCACACACTCATGCTTTGCACACACGCGGACAGGCGCACGCACCCCATTCCTTGGGCAGGCCCCGAGCCCAGCCAACGCCCCCCCCCGCCAACTACCCTATTCATGCCCTGGTAAGTGAGCTGTCTTTGGACCCAGCGCCGGCTGGGGTTTCTCTTGGAAGATGCTGACCAGCCCGTTTGGGGGGGCTGCATCGGAGGGAGAAGATTTATAGGAGAGGGAAAGGAAGTGGTGATGGTGGGGGGGGGCGTGTGAAGACAGAAAGGCTGCAGAACACAGAGAGACAAAGACGCCTCGTCCCAAAGGCTGCAGAGAGTGGGAAAATTCTCTTTTTGAGCAACCACCCACAGGAACCTCCCAGCCGGTATGGCTGATTTCAGAAGCAGTGGTTCATGAAAATGCTTTTTTCCACCCTCTGCTTCTCAAATTCCTCTCGCAAGACAGACTGGCCAGCTCCTGAATCCAGAGCCTATCATCCCCTGCAAAGCGTTCCCCACATCCTGATCGAAGGCCAACCTTCCTTCCTGCCTGCCTGCCTGGAGGAAAGAGGTCCCCACAGAGCCTAGGATCAGGAACCAAGCAAGAGAGAGGCTTCGGGTGGCTCTCTGAGATCCGCTCGCCCGGGAGAGAACCCCCTTTCACCACACCTGACAGGACGGGCGACTGGAAGGGGGGAGAGGGGCTCAAAAGTGGCAAATAAAAGCCGTTCCTCAAGATGGCAGCTCACCTCGAGCCACAAGGAAGTGCTGGAAAGGTGCCCCCACCTCTGCTTGCTTGGTTTAACCAGCCACCCGCCAGCCGGCCGGCCACCCCCACCACCACCACCGTGGGCGACCTCTTCCTGCTTCCCCGCGGGGCTTCCCAGACAAGACCTCACAAGCTTTCCTGGAAGACCTGCCTCCCTGCAGCACACGG